CCCCTCCCGACTCTTATATCCTATGCCCACGGCATGTCATCAATTTGAACGATCAGTTTTCTTCATTTTAATCCACACGCCTTGAATGTTTTAGCGAGAATTTAGGTATTCGAGTTCTCATGCATCAAGTGGAAATGATGGTTTTCCAACAAAAAGACTAAGATATAGCATTAAAAATGGGTTATACAAGTCTGGAAACATCAAGCTTTTACATTTAAAGATGCATTATGAAATGCAGATCATTATATATCGTGTAGATCATTCATGGTAGTAATGTGAGTGAGTCATTAAGATCTCTGTTAATTAATTTTATTGTCAGAAAATTGTTAATTTTTTTCAACCTGTTGATGCATGGATAATATACGTTAGGCAAACATGTTTGTGCTTAATTAATTTGTTGTGTATGTAGCCTTTTAAGATACGAAAATCAAATTGTAATGCACCCCGTGGGCGGATTCGGATCCTCTCCACTACAAAAAAAATAGTGGAGGGACCACTACATAATCACAGCCATTGATTATCTAGTTGATGGTTATGATTTTTTCTTTTAGTACAAATTAGGAATGAGTGCAATACACGGGGGTATGGTAAGTGTTAGATTTGGATTGTATCATAACCGCCTACTAAATAATCAACGTTTGAGATTAAAAGTAGTGGCCTCTCCACTACTTTTTTGTAGTGGAGAGGATCAAATCCCCCGTGGGCGCATGTCTCGTTTAGTTCTACCATAAAAGGATGGAAGACATATCATGTAATTTTTTTAAGTAGTAAATTATTTTATTGATAGATCACAAGCTCAACACACAGCGCTTAGTCTATAGAGATACTACATATCAGTTAACTTTATTCCATATATAAGCTGAGGCCTCTGATCAGTTGTGACTGATGACTATGTCCACGCACTGCAGTACCGTATCCCTGATCCAGCCCCGGAACCATGATCCGAACCGGTCCGGATCCAGACCCCAGAACCGGAACCCCGCACCGCAGCCACCACTCCATTAACCACCCCCTACACCTGAACCACCCCTGAACCGAGCCGGATTCCACCGCACTACCCTCTCCCCTCCGCGTGACACCGCCCCGCCACTACAGCCCCTCCGCCAGAACCACCCCCTAATGCCACCCCCTCCGACCGGAACCCGCGCTACTCACCTCTCACACCACTTCCATGACACCCCGTCCACGTGAATACCACCCGAACCGAGCTGGATCCGCGCCACTCCCGCTCCTCCACCGGACACCTCCGCCTGAACCACCACCAGACTCCCGGAACCACTGCACTGTTGCCTCCTTCTCCAGAAACCGACCGCAAGCCGCCCCCTCCACCCGGATACCACCGCCACTTTGCCACCCCCTCCACGCACCACTTCATGACCACCCACTCCACCTGAATGACACCTGAACCAGCCGATCCACCTGCCGCTCCCTCCACGGACACTCCGACGTGAACCACACCACTCCCGGAACACCGCACTACCGGTCCTCCGGCCAAACCAACCGCCAATCCACCACTGTCCATAATCACCCTCCAAACCTGATATGACCACCCGAGACCGAGCCAGATCCCTGCACTGCCCGGCTCCTCACACCAGAGACTCCGCCCGACCACCGCTGAAACACCGCCCGAATACCACCGACTGAGAAACACGCCCCCCCCACCGCCCAATGCCACCCCCTCCCACCGCGACCGCCAGAGACCACTGGCCCAATTCCACCGCCGGTATCACCTGAACACCGCCAGATAGCCGACCCGCCACCGGACCCGGATCCACCAGACCTTCACCACCCTCCGCCAAACCACCACTGAACCTCCTCCACTACCAAGCGCGCGAGTCCACTGCAGTTCCACTCTCCGCCGGAACCACCCACACCACCATGTCCTCCACCGAGAACACACCAGCTCCACCACACCGAACCCGACCCGCCACCATATTCCCTGATCCTATTACCATTTTCGCCCTCCGACACCGCCACTACACACCCTCCGCCAGAACCTCCACCACTACCGAAACCACCACCTGGACCCGATCCGCCACCGAATCCGAATCCGGATCCACCACCACTTCCGCCCCCTCCACCGCCAACGCCCTTCAAGGACCGGACGGCAGAGGCGAGGCCAACGTTGAGGACAATGAGAAAAATGAAGGCGAGTGCAATATGCCTTTTACGTGCCATTTTTAGTGAACTGAGAAGGGATATGGGTTGGAGTTAAGGAGCGCGTGCATCAGGGTATTTATAGAGAGTTTCAGTTCGCATGCAGACACCAAAATTTAACGAACATTGGACTTGTGGACTGAACCGAGTCCGAAGTGTGAAACATTAATTGAAAGTAGGGTACGCATTTGCTCCGACATTTCTGACATTTTGGCCCGGGAATATTTATTTTTGGCCCTTTTTATCTTTAGAATTCGAGGAAAGAAAAAGCTTCATTTTGTTGGTGTGGATTCTCTTTCAAATTAGTCCACCTGATCCACCGACGGGTGCCTTGTTTATTACTCGTTTGGTAATTTTTTTTAAAGGGAACGGACGTTCATTCAAGATAGCTAATGTACGTGTAAGCATTTGCATATATTATATACAAATGCAGTAGTAGCGCGGTCTAGCTGTAAGCTAATTAATTAATAAGGTCTCCATTATAAGTTAGATTTGATGACGTTGATCTCAGCATAAATTCTTAATAAAGTTAGATTTGGTGTTTGGATGTTTCCATCTATCTAGATTTTGGGATCAATTTGTATATGTATGTTCACATTTGTTATATATGTTTTCTTATTAAACTTGTTATATATCCTTGGTATACACTACAGAAAACTAGCTAGTAAACGTACTGAATCCAGTGCATGCGTGTTAATATTCGTCAATATATAAAAACTGACTGTTCTATTTGTTGAACCATAGACCAAGCGCATATCTGATTCACCCGATCGAATTAGTTTAACAGACAGATCGAGCCACAGAATCAAGCCTGGGGTAATTTGATGCTGGAACTGAACGAGGCAAAATATTAGACCTGATCTCAAAAAGTTTGTATGTAATATCTAAGGAGGGCATAAATTAGTCTTTCCATGACCGTGAGGCTTCATATGGTAGCAATCTCGTTATAGCGCTCTCTTTTTACTCTTCGACGTCTTAAGTCTCCAGTACTTAACACATCTTCATAAGCAGCCTAGTGAGATAAATGATAAATATGTATATACCTAATTGTAATTCGACCTTGTATTATGTACACCCTCATTAGGGTTTGGTAGTATTGGTATATATAGGACCTTTGTAACTTTGTTCTGTTATTCAATAGAGGAATTTATTTCAATTTGATATCAGAGCCAACTAACCCTAGATCCTCACCAAAAAAAAAAAAAACATCCGCCGTTTCCCTCACTATAGCCCAACGCGCCCTCCTTGAATCGTCATCGGCATGCTGCTCCAACTGACCATCTCTCTCAATCGGCCTCTCTCTCAATCAGCCTCTATCTCTCTCTCCTCTTTGGTTGGCATGGCTTCGGGTTCTTCTTCTTCGAGCTCTTCATCTGTTCCAATGGCTTCACGTTCTTCTTCTTCGAGTTCTTCATCTGCTTCAAAGTCTTTGCATCAATATCATCGTTATATCACTCTTAAACTCACTCCCAGTAACTATCTCTATTGCACGCTCTTATTCATCCCAACTTTTTAAGCACTCGTCTCCTAGGGTATGTAGAAGGAACTATTGTCTGTTCTTCGTCTGTTATCGTTTCAAATGAAAAATATGTTGTCAATCCAGATTTTATTGCATGGAAAAAAATGGATGATCATGTTAACATTATTAATCTTGGCTCCATCTCTGAAGAAAGTTACCATGTTATTGTTGGCAAAAAATACACCGGCTGCAATTTGGGATGCTCTAGTGACTGCGTATGCAACCCCTCCCATGCCCGTGCTTTACAAATTCATGAGGATTTACTTGAATGTCGTCAAAAAGATTCCTCAATCTTAGTTTATTTGGCAAAACTAAAAACCCTAACTGACAATTTGATCGTGGCAGGTTGCCCCGTATCATATGAGAATTTTATGACCTATGTTTTTCGGGGACTTCCTCCGGAATATCAACATCTTACAACCACTATTCATGCTCTGAAGGAAAAAGTGAGTTTTGAGGACTTGCAATCTATGCTCCAAACTCAGGAGCACATCCGGGGCAATCTTGAAACTGCGACCTCCCCACTCGACCGTCGGACCCGGACAACCATTGGCGTACAACGACGCCTCTTCCTAGGCTGCGGCACTGCCGGCCTACTTGGGGTGGACCCCGGCGCAGCTTGCGCATTTGCAAGCACTCGGGTTCAGCCCCTCCCTGAGTTTTGCAACCCCTTCGGGTACTTTCTCCGCTGATGACAATGGCGGCTCGGTCACCATCCCAACTGTCGTGCTGCAAGCCCTCCTCTCAGGTCAGTCATCTTCTAGAGCTTCACAGAGTTTTGGGTATAACCAGTCTAGTAATAGAGGCAATCACGACAACAATCGTGGTTACAATAATCGTTGGAGCGGACGTGGTCGTGGACATAATAATAAGTATAGTGTGGCTACAATAACAATTTTGGTGGTGATGGTGCTCCTCAATACTATCAGCGTGGCATCATGGATGCTACACCAGTAGCTCATCTCTCAGATGCTCATCCCGAATCCTCCTAGCAGTGCAATGCACCCTTCTGGTTTTCGGATACGAGAGATACAAAGATGTGACCCCATACGTCGTAGGTCTTGATCACTCTAAGGCCTACCAAGGTAGTGACACACTTCATATTGGTAGTGGTAGAGGATTCTCAATTGCTAATGTTGGTTTCAAAACTTTTTCTACCAAAAACAACACTTTTCATATGCATAATGCCTTGCACGTTCCCTCTATATCCAAAGCCCTACTTAATGTTCGTCAATTTTCTATTGATAACAATGCTTGCTTTGAGTTTCACCCTAATTATTTTCTTGTGAAGGATCAGCTTACCAAACAACTCCTCCTTACTGGCCCTATTTAGAATGGACTTTACTCACTTTGCCTTCTTCCTTTTCATTCATTTCGTCCCATGGTCTTCTCCGTGGAGCGTACATCTCCTACAATATGACATCGTCGGTTGTGTCATCCCCATGGTCAATTATTTCATGTCATGGTTAATAAAAATGCACTCACGTGCTCGTCCAAGTCTTTAGATTTGCTTTGTTTTGACTTTCAGCTTGGCAAGTCATCAAAATTATCTCTTCATTTGTCGTCTTTTCAAAGTCATTCAGTATTGGGGACCTGCCCCTAATTTATCGTCAGATGGTCATAAATATTTTGTTATCTTTGTGGATCTTTATTCGAAGTATATTTGGTTTTATCCTTTGATGCAAAAATCTGATGTCTTTATTATATTTTCCAAATTTATTGCTATAGTTGAACGATAATTTGGCACTAAACTTAAATCCATACAAACAGGCTGGGAGGTGAATATCAAAAATTAACCGAGTATTTTTTAAAATTGGGCATTATTCATCGTCTCTCTTGCCCTCATACCTCCGAACAAAATGGGACTGTTAAACATTGTCATCGTCATATCGTTGAAATAAGGCTATCTCTCTTGGCTCATTCGGGTGTTCCTCACAAAATTTAGCACTTAGAATTTGATGCAGCGGATTATCTCATTAATCGTATGCCTTCTCGAGTGTCCAAATCTCAATCCCCGTTTGAGTGTATTTTTCAACGACCACTTGATTATCTCTTTCTTAAGGTTTTTGGGTGTTTGTGTTTTCTCTATCTCCAACCATATAACAGCCATAAAATTTATTTTAGGTCTACTCCATGTGTCTTTCTTGACTACAACCATGCTCATCATGGTTATCATTATCTTGATTGTGTCACTGAACGCATGTATATTGCATGACATGTACACTTTGACGAGACCACTTTCCCATTCCTCTCTTCTTCTCCACTGCCCCCAATCTCATGTACTATTGTACTCCTGAGTATACGTCCATCCTTTGTTCCCCCATTGGGTCTTGCTCCACCTGATCCTCTCGGCTCTCCTCTAGTTGCTTGCTGGTCTGAGCCCTCTTCCACTGATCTGGCCGAGAATCCCTCGGTTGCTTCAGCCGCCTCCCTTGGCTCTCCGACACCATCTTCACCTCTTGTGTTGTCCCCTGTGTCATCACAATTGGACTCCTCCAACTCTGTTCCTCCTACTCCTTCTCCACCTCCTGCCCGAACCCACCCATGACTCTTTGTTCTAACCCTAAGCCCAAGGTGTTGTTTTCTCCCTCTGCATCTCTTACCACTATTCCCTCTACTCCCTCGATCTGATGTTGAACTAATATCCTTTACTATTTCTAATAAAAATGTTCAGTGGCGTCAGGCTATGGCTGACGAGTATCATGCCCTTCTTCGGTACTTGGTCTTTAATTCTGTTTATGGCTTCTATGAATGTTGTTGGTTGCAGGTGGGTGTACAAGATTAAATGGAAGGCTGTTGGATCCATAGAGCGCTATAAAGCACGACTTGTTTCGAAGGGCTTTCACCAACAACTGGGATTGGATTATGAGGAGACCTTTAGTCCGGTTGTCAAACCAACCACTATCCAGATAGTGATATCTTTGGCAATTTGTCAGGGGTGGCCTTTACACCAACTTGATGTGCAGAATGGTTTTCTACATAGAGCCCTTACTAAGACCACCTACATGTCTCAGCCTCCAGGTTCTGTGGATCCGTCCTAATCTGACCACGCTTGCTTGCTTCATCGATCTATTTATGGGCTCAAGCAGACTCTTCAAGCCTGGTTCCATCGTCTGTCTTAGGAACTTCTCTCTCAAGGGTTCATGGATCCAAGACTGACTCTTCCTTGTTCATCTATACTCCTGGTATGACTAAACTATTTATTTTAGTTTATGTTGATGATATCATTGTTATAAGGATCAATTTCTATCAAATCTCCTGGGTCATTTGTGACCTCTCGTCTGAATTTTCACTCAAAGATTTGGATCCGTTACACTACTTTGTTGGTATAGAGGTGGTACCGCATGCTTCCAGGTTACTTCTCTCTCAGCAAAAGTACATTTGTGATCTCCTACAGCGTTTCGGTCTCTCAAACTCGAAGCATGTGTCTACACTGCTGTCTACATCTGTCTCACTGACGAAGACCACTAGTTCTTTTTTCTCTGACCCCACCAAATATCGG